TGTTTTTATTTATTTGTGTGCTCAGCTCTAGGATATCCCCAAGGAATCAAATTCAATGATATTTAATCTTTGATTTTGGTATCTTATACACACAAGTAGAATTGTCTTATGATATTCTAGAAAACTTTATAACATGTAACTTTGTTACTTTTTATGATGATTTATATGTTGTATGGAATATGGATAGGAAAAGCACATCAAGAACTTGTTAATTTTTAGAATCTTTTTTTTTTTTTTTAAGATGCATAAAACAATAACATTAAAAATGAAAGAAGCTAGTACAAACTAATAGCATTACATTCCTCCTTTAATAAAAGAAAAAATGGAGGAAGAATGTCTTCCATACTGAGATTATCCCAAGCAAAATCCCCATTAAGAGCATAGTTAGCACACATATCTGCTAACTTATTGCTTTCCCTACTAACATATTTAAAAATAATAAGATTAAACTCTTTAATAAGAGAAGAGGAACCTTACATCAATCTCCTATTTTTGCAATCCCTTCTTGTTGGCATTAATTTGGATACTTTTAATCACATTTTCATTGTCTCCTTTAATGATAATACCGTTGTATTGAGTGATCCAATCCTTGATACTACCATGTAGGGAGAAAATAGCATTCAATTCAAGCTGAGCAATATCCCAATGAATTCTTTTTTTCCCAAAAGCAAATAGAAACCTTTCTTGATGACCACGGAAAATAGCTCCTATTCCAATTTTATAAGAAAGTAACAATGAAGCATCAATGTTTATCATGATCCAATAGGGTGGTGGAGGATGCCAAGACTTATTAAACAACCGAGATGGTTTATTAACATCCTATAGGCCTGATTTATTTCTATTAGAAATATAAATTGAAGTCATAGTAAGAGCATTAGATGCAATATTTAAATTGCTATCCTCCTTACCTTCATGAATAAGTCTATTTCTAGACTTCCAACAAAGAAATACCATGGTACAATAAACATTTATAATAAATGTTTTTTAACAGCATTGTACTTCAACCAAGAAATCAACTCAGCATAGGTATGAAAAATAGGAATTTGAAACCCCATTGATTCAAAATTTTTAAAATTTGAATGAGTTTATCACACCTCACTGCCACATGCTTAATATCCTTCCTTGAATCTTCTATATTCCAGAAATTAAAAAGTTGGAATGGCTTTATGGTATATTCTACACCAAAAGACTTCAGTTCTTGGATTAAGATATATTTTCTACATCCAATTCCAATGTTCTTCTCCATCTGAAACATTTAACTGAGCTTCAAATGATAATGCTGCCAAAGTCTTTCCTAAATTATGAGAAATTTACTCTATTTGATCTCTACCGGCCTCCTGTTCAATATTAATGTTGCAAATAATTTGAAGCAGGTCCTTTCTAAAAGCTTCCTGCAGTTTAACCATGTCCCAACCTCCATTTTAAATGAAGTGATTGACAGATCAATCATATATTTGTAGGTTATCAAGGAACTTAGGACATATACATAAGACTTTATCAAGAATCCATACATCCTCCATGACATATACATTTTCACCAATAGAAATTTTCCATCTTATAATCGGTTTAAGTGCCTTTGCACCACTCTTAATTTTCCATGCACTTGATACATTTTGCTTCCAATCAGGTAGCCAACAAGAATTCCCATACTTCGGCTTCAAGCATTTATGCAAAAAATAAGTTTCTTCATTTACATATTTCCATGCAATTTTAGCTTTTAAAGGGTTCACCCTTTGCACACAAGAGTGAAGTCCACATCCCCCTAGATGCAATGGTTAACACAAATTCTCCCAACTAACAAAATCTAAACTGACTTCATTATTCTCGTCATGCCAAATAAATTCTCTACAAGCTTTGTTTATTTCAGCCAAGATTCCAATTGGAACCAAAGAGTGAGTGCAATAAAAAACAAGAATAGAAAGGATCGTTGATCAAGCAAGAGTAAATCTCCCTGCAAGAGAAATAAACTTGCTCCCCCAAGTATCTAGCTTCCCAAGCACTCTTTCTAATAAAAAATTGAAATCAGAAGGATCCAATCTTCTTAATGCAATTTTAACTCCTAAGTAATAGAATTCCTTCACATTCTTGAATCCCATTACCCGAGCAATCTTCTTCTTTCTTCTTCTACTAACACCTTTCCCACAAAAAATAGAAGACTTATTGTAATTATTTTTTTGTCAAGACTAATTATAATAGTCCAATAAAATACTCCTAATCGCCTTGACCATCTTCATTTTAGCTTCAGAAAAAATTAAGACATCGTCAGCATAAAGCATATGAGATATCTCATTAGCATTATGATGAATCTTAATCCCTATCTCGCTCTCTTCTTGAATTAATGCACTTGATAATAGTTGAGAACATCAAAATAAAGATAAAAGGAGATAAGGGACAACCTTGGTGAAAACCAGTGCAAGCATTGATCTAATTAGAATTTTTGTCGTTGATCAATATAAAGAACCTTGGATAACGTACACATTCCAAAATAATCTTTGAAAAGTGTAAAGGGAAGCCAAAATACTAAAAATCTGCTCCAAAGTTCCCCAAGAAAAGCTATAATAGGTATGCTCTATTTTGAAAGAAACTAGACCTTTTAAAGATTTTGAAAACATGAATTTGTGGAAAACTTCTTGGCAATTAATACATTATCTGAAAGAGATTGTTCTTTAATGAAAGATGATTGGTTTTCTGAAATAAGTTTTGGAAGTAAATTCACAAATCTGTTGAGAAGAATATTAGCCACAAGTTTATAAATTGTTTTACAAAGACTTATAGGCCTGAAATTTGAAGGTATCATAGGCAACTCCACCTTTGGAATGAGTACAATCAATCTATATTTCCAACTAGATTCCATCATACCCATAGAGAAAAACCTTTTCAAAGCATTCCAAACATCTAGTTTAATGATGAGCCAATATAATTTAATAAATGAATGAGTAATACCTTCAACACCTGGGGAAACACCTCCCTCCATTTGGGTAACAGTAGCTTGAACTTCCTCCATCTTGAGCTCGAAATTAAGTGTTTCTCTATCAGATTCTGTCAAAGTGTCTCTCGGCCTAGTCCAATCATTCAAAGAATAAGATCTAGAATTCCACTTTGTTTGGAAGAAATTGAAAAAAATCTTTTCAATTTGATTTTGATCCTCCACCAAGTCTCCATTCTCATCATTAATATTGAAACTATAATTTGCATTTCTTCTAGCATTTGCAAATGAATGAAAAATCTTTGTATGCAAGTCTCCATTCTTTATCAATCTTACCTTTGCTCTTTATCACCACCAAGAGTTTAGACGAGCTAAAGTACAATTTACTTTACTAATTTTGGATCTTATAAGCAATATATTTTCTTCAGAAAGGCTTTCAACCACAAACTCCTGCATTTCCAGATCAAGAATATATTTGATAAGATTGTCTTTCACATGATTGAGATCTTTTAATTTTGCTTTACTCTAGAAAAAAGAGCTTTTAAAGCCCTTTTAAATTTGATATCAAGACTATTAGAATGTTGATTAGTAATTTTTCTATTCCAAGCCTTTTGAATAATAGCAACCAAAGCATAATGAGAGTCCCAAGCATCTTCAAACTTTATATAGCCATTTGATTTTGGTTGATCTTCCCATAATTTCATCATAATAGGGAAATAATCTGAAGCCACATGAGGGAGATGACGAACCACCAATAAAGGATTAGACTCAAGAGCAAATGAATTAACAAAGAACCTGTCTAGTCTTTCTATGATCTGAGCTCCACCTGATTTGTTATTGCACCAAGTAAACCTTGGGCCAATAAAATTTAATTCATGATAATCAAGGTTAGAAAATAATAATTTCATTTCCGTTGAGCCTTGTTAAAACTCAACTCCTCTTCATCCTTTTTTATCACTTTTGGATAAAAGGAAATTAAAATTGCCACCCACCATAGGAGGACTATCAACAAGCATATACATCTTCAATTGATTCAAAAGATCACTCCTTTTATAAGTGTCTATGTTTGCTTAAACAGTAGAAATTCTCCAACTTCCTTTATTCTGAATTTCTAAATCACCAATTACACATTAACAAGAAGAGAACAAGGTATTAAAAGAAGCAAACCTGGTATTCCAAAGAATTAAGATCCCTCCTAACATGCCCTCAGAAGGATAATGAAAAAAAAATCCCAATCCATCCCGATTAGAGAATTGATATCTTTATTATTCATAGAAGAAACTTAGATTTCTAACAAACCAATAAAACCCACAACATTTTCTTTGAAAAATTCTTTAAGATATTGATAAGCATGAACTTTCATAGCTCCTCTACAATTCCAAAAAATAATGGAATTCATTAATTAGAAAGTGTTGAGTCTAGTAATTAGGTTGTTAAGCCTAAGTGAATGTCCCAAGGCTACCAAGAGGGGGGTGAATTGGTAGTTTAAAAAATTTAAGTCCCCTTTAGAAAATTATTGAACCGAAATAAAATTTCTTTTAAATTTTGCAGAAAAATGTTTTTCAACCACAGAGTTTTTAAAACTGAAATATAAAGTGCGGAAACGTAAAAACAGTAAAGTAAAT